TCTGAGGGAAGCCTGGCTCACATTTTCTGGAAGACTGTACACATCTCATTCATTCATGATTTAGAAAACACATTTCAAGATAAAGCATTGAAAATAGTTAATTTAAATAGTTGACCATAAAAGTTGGTTGTTGAATAAGTTTTTCATTAAGTCAATTCCTAAATAAAACCTGAAAACAACAAATAAATAGCATCATTTTGGATACACTGCAATCCTTCTCAATGTCCATCCCAACTCTTTGACCCTACTTTATGATTAGAATTAGGTATCCCAGCTTTAAACGACTGCCCTTCCTGAAGTGAATGCCTTCCCATAGAAACAGATTATTAGGAGTTTATTAGATTGCAGTGTGCTAAAAAAAATGTGAATACTACGTTTTATAGATGAAAAGCCACTGAACTACCACAAAAATCACCAAAAAGGAACAATAACGGATATCAATACTCAGAAAATACATGAATGAAAGGAATAGATTGATGGACTGAAATGAGGAACCAACAAAAGAGCAGTGATCTCTGATAGAGAGTATTGATGATAGTAGAATCTGTCCAATCACATCCGGCTGACAAAGGCTCCGAGTGAGAGCGCTGGGGGCTGCTGGTGATGCTTGTTGACAGCTGTATCTCCGAGGGAGGACCTCCATAATCCTGTACCATGCGAGGTTGCGTGACCGTTCATAGCCCTCTGCACTCCATTTGCACCATTTGGCCTAATTGGTCACACCCACCACTGTCTCACCGCACGCCAACACACACACACACACACACACAGACACACACACACGCCTATGTTTCCAAGCTCCACCGACACAACAAGACATCCCCCCATCGTCACAGGAGGTCCGCAAGGGCTCTCCTCTGCATACATTATCAAACGGCATACGTGAACGCAGCCTCAGCATATGGGCCATGGTCACGCAAGCATCACAACAACACTACACAATTATGGCAACCTCAGAGAGAGCAACGCTTACGGCTGAACGTGCTTCTAGTTGATTGATTCAAGAAATAAGACTGTTAATCTAGATACATGGCTTTTACAAAAGGAGGCAATAACAAATGACAAAATGAATGAACACCAATATCATCAGAGTGAGCAAGTAACCATTCATCCATCCATTTTCTTCCCCTTAATCCATTTAAGGGGAAGAAAAGCACCCGCACAGCACCTGCCCCTCACTGATCTTCCTGCAGGTGGCGAGTCCACAGGAGGATGCTGTTGTGTTGGGGACGACACAGCCTAGATCTTTCAGTGGGGGCTTCGGGCAAAGTGGGGTTAAGTGTCTTGCCCATGCAGCAGACATCAGTGGGAGTCGATGGAGAAGGTCTTGTGGGGGGATCGGATCGAAAGGTTAAAGGCCAATGCTCTACCTACTGAGCCACTGTAAGTAAGTATTACTAAAGGTAATGTACTAACTCTCACTTCATGTGCAAAATTTCACTTTAAAACTACTTTGTTACATTTTTATTTGACCAGTTACTCTACAGATGGCAGCGTAACTTAAGTGGTTGGCCATTTTAATTAGTATAGTTATTGTTCACTTATCTTGTGCTGTGTGCTCCTCATTCCAACTGCTCTGAAACTTGTGATGCAACACTGAAATTTCCCCGCAGTGGGACAAATATAGGATCTCTTCATTTTAATCTTAAAAAATAATATTTTTTTATCTCAAAGTGAATTACTTTGTTTTGGTTATTGTGCTGCAAAATGACTGCTCTGGGAGTTAAAGGTACAAACTTAATAATACATATATTTTGTGAGTAAGTAGAGTAATCTTTGTAAAGTGACATAATCTTTACAATCTTAAGTGTTCAAACTAATAGTACATAACTTTCTGAAGGGAGAAAAACAGGATTTTGTGGAAATAAAAATGTGGTTTGTGGAGAAGCAAATCAGTTTAGCTATTCACTTTTTTTCTTACCCTTCTCACAATTTCACATCAACATTTGACATTTCATCTTCATGCCCTGTATCTCTTGAAGTCTCATCAAACTATGTTAAACAATACAAGCCCATTTTTTTTAAACAATGTTCTGAACAGCAAAAATCTACAAAAACAGAGCATGATTATCCAGTGCTGATATTGGGGAGGATGCTGCTGAGATGAGAGTCACATGCCAGAGGAAAAGGTTACCGAGTGCAAATGGTGATTCACCGACAAGACGCGCAGAAGGCCACAGCGAACCCTCAACGGAAGAATAGAACATCACAAAAACATTTATAGTCAAGGCTTTGGCAGTGATGCAGTGATTCTCAAAGTTGTTAACACATTTCCGACTGGTCCTTATTAATACTGACATAACTGTAAGATGAGTAAAATGAAATGGCAATGCAGTTCATAATTATTCAAGCTGTGGTCCTGACTTTCAAACTGCAATAATTGAAAGTATATATCATTAAATCCATCCTTCTAGTGCCTCGCTCTCAAAACAGTAAAAGGAAATATTTCGAGTGTTCAATATATACTGTTTATAAGACCGATCTGACCATTGGCTTATTGGCATCACCCAAAGCTGTGGTAGCTAACTTTCACGGTGGCTGAGTGGATAGCACTAGAATCTCCGTCGGAACAGGGCCTTTCTGAGCGGAGTTTGAACGTTCTCCCCGTGAATGCACAGGTTTCCTCCGGGTGCTCCGGTTTCCCCTATCACTAAAAACACGTGCAATAGGTATGAATGTACAGTAAATTGATTGGGGCTTTGATGCGCCTGCGTGTTCGGCGTCTCACTTCTGTCATCACCAGGTGTGGAGAGATTGCAACAATATCTGATTGCTGAACATTGTAAAAATCGCTTTGGGTGACCTTGGTCTGTAAAATGCGCTATATAAATAAACTTCTTCTACTTACTTACGGACTTTCAAACCACTCGAAATGATGCCAATATTTAGTTTGTGACTATGAAACAGTTCTATCACTAGTTTTCACATTTGGTCTCATATTTTGGCCTATTTTTTTATTTTTTTTAAATATGACAGCATGTTGACTTTTTTTGTTGGAACAAACGAGAGTTATGGACAAAATAAAGTTAGGTAGCCCAGCTTTAACCAACTAATGTTTCCATGCAGATGTTACATAGCACGGCCTTCAATCTCGCTCTATCCATAAATGAATACGTACAAATGTGGATCTAAATCATCTATAAAAACTCATTTATTTCTCAATCATTGATGAGAATTTGCATACAATTAAATGTATAGTGCTTTACCAAACACTCCAAAGAAATGCACACAATAGAAAATCAAATTCTGCAAGCGTAATTTAAAACAATATTAAAGCTGAATGTTTGATGATTTAATTTGTCATTGCATTTGTGAGCCCTACCGAGGCTCAAAAAATGCCCTACTGAATCCCCCTATTGAATATATGCAAAATAGATTTCTTCTATTTTGCCAAGAACGCAACATTTCTCACACAACAGGGAATAGCAGATTCCTCTTTCAGCCGATTTCAACAGGTCTGATTATGTTTACGCTTTGGTCCAAAATAAAACTTTAAAATTTGATAGTGACACTCCCCCTCCCCCTCTGCTCACTGGTCCAGATTCAGAAACGCTCTGATAATTTGTATGTGAGCTTATGGGGCCGAAGAGGACAGTGAGATTAGAGCCACTGGCCGCTCTGTTTGTTTTGGTTGCCTTCATGCTCCACTTGAGTGATTAATCTGAGAGGGTTACGTGAGGATATGTGCCCGGGACGTCCCATCTGCTGGTGGAGGCTTCTACCTACTGGCCACTGCCCTCCACTGCACCGCGGCCTGGGTTGAACCACGCTGAAATATACATAGACACGTGAGCTACAGGAGTTATTGAGGACACAGTCTAAAACTAGTGGTATGAAGAATTAATATGGATAAAAATGGCCCTGGATAAAGTTATATTTCTGATAGATGGAGAACATGAAAGGACAGCAACTCTGTGAACATAGTTTAAAACCATGTATAGTAGATACTTTATTGATCCCCTATAGGAGTTGTCCAGCAGCAGAAACACATCCATCCATACATTTAAAACAAATAGATAATTAGTAGCTAACAATAGTGGCTCTCCTTTTAAAACACTTAACCAATATATTTACAATAACCTATTTTTCAAGCATGAGCATTAGTGTTTTAACCACAAATTATCAATATGCAATGTGAAAGCCAATAGAACATCTATAATTGAAAAGATCTTCAGAGTCAATGTGGGGGAAAGCAGAACGCTCGTGCTGATCCATTCCATCCATAAACAATTGGCCATTGATAAATCTGACACAGAATATTTTTGGTCATTCTTCATTAGTCTTGAGACAATCAATTCAATTTCAATTTATTTGAGCAGGTCATACAAAACAAAAAACAATCCAATAGGAAAACATTTCAAGAAAAAGTAGACACAGCTCAAAGGGAGTAAGCCGAAGTAAAATACTTGTGTGAGTATACAGTAGATGCTTACATTGGCGTTGATGTTTTATAAATCAATTCCCTAACCCTAATCAACTGGTTTATTCAAAGCCCATAGAACTTGCGTTACTTATTGAATATTTCTTAACTCTTGGAAACTGTTTGTCTGAAAGATCACGGCAGCTCAGACTAGAGCAGCCATCCTCCTGCAGACTCACCACCTGCAAGAGGGTCAGTGAAGGGCTGGTGCTGGTGAATTGGGTGCAACTCTGACTGCCACCCCCAGACCAATAAATGGATTAAGGGGAAGAAAATGGATGGATGGAAACTGTTTGTCACTAGACTAAAAAAAATACTATTGGTTCTGTCCCAACAAAAAGGTAAAACGTGTTTTCATTGTCAAAAATTAAGCAACAACCAATAAGAGTAGACCAATCAGTATTTACTTTTGTTTGGTATATGCTATATGTAGTAGCTATTGTTTTACTGTGGTCATAATGATTCTTTTTGTTCTTAATCTTGACCCATACAAAAGGTGGTCCAAAGTGGATTCGAGTTAGATCCCTCAACAAAGATATTTACAAAGTTCCAAAGTTCCACTTCTGCCCCAAAGTGAGGGTCAGTCTTTTTTCAGTGTTCGCGGAGGCAGAGGTCTGTAATGAGAAATGATCTGAACAAGGATGAAACAGTTGATGACTAAGAAAACCAGTCCAGCGAGCCAGATCCACAAGAACGTGTTGTAGCCCTCAAACTCCAGGAAGTAAGCTGGAGCCAGCCACACGCCCTGTGGACAGAGGAGGACCATTCAAGGCTAACATGTGGGGGATAATGTTGCATTGCTAGTTCATGTTAAAGTTATGCAAAAAGTATAACAACATATCAAAATATGTTTCGCTTTCGTGCTAAAACCAAAAGAACACTTGATTAAACATTTGTAACGAAGACCTCGATGTTTGCATAGACTTTACATTTAGATGGACATACCACCCCATTTACAATTTAAAAAAAGAATACAAAGCATAAACACAAAGCAAAGCCTGTTCAATGGAATGCACTAGACAGATTATTTGTCAAAACTAATACAGTGCAAATATTGACTGGGACTGGCACACTTGGTAAGCTGCATGATTGAAAACAAACTGAGCATTGAAAAGCCAAATAGTTTTCTGAACTGTTACCTGTCCTGCAAACCAGAGCAGCAGCAGTCCGACGCCTTGTTTTACCGAGAGGCTGAGCCCAGGAATGACCAGAGGTAGTAAACACAAGTACCACAGGAAGTACTGCAGTTAACAAACACACACGATTATGTACATTTAATATGCTGCATTCATATTGATGAGAGTATAAAAAATAACACAAACATCTATTCTTCACTCATTGATAGTAGTTGTGAGACGCCATTTATGGTCAATTTAACACGTTTTCCTTTTCAAATTATAATGACAACAGAAACTATTGAAATGATTAGAATGTTTCCATCCCCCAGTTCTCAATAGCACGTATTGCCCCTTTAACATCTATGACTGCTTTTGTATTTTGTGGTAGTTTTGGATGAGGTTCTTTTTCCACTCTGATGGTAAAGCTGCTCGTACTTGGCAAAAAGCCTCCAATTCCTGTGAATTCTTGGGCCGCCTCGCATGAACATATAGGCTCAATTATATTATTGTTTGAGAAAAGAAACCACGTTTATTTGACAATAGCTTCACACAACACCATTTTTTTTTTTTTAAATAGTTGTATACATTTTTACTCCTACGCCAAATTCCTTGTTTCTGACTTCCTGTTACTTTGAATGCTAATACAAATAATTCTGATTCTGAACAATAAGAGGGGAAACTATGTTCAAGCACAGTTGTAATTAAAGCAGTTTGATATTCTTTCTGTAGTGAACCACCCTCTAAGGAGGAAATGGTTTACAGCTACAGTATGGTTAGATGTTGTTAGCTGTGGTGTTGTGTATCATATACCTGTGATGTGCAAACTTTGTTGAATGAAACAAAGACTGCAGTGTTCAGGAAACAGCAGAAGGACAAGTCTGAATGAAACACCCAGGACATGATCAGCAGGAGCAGAAGCTGAGGGAGGAAGGCCGCAAGACCAAGCAACTGGCTCCACCTAGTGTCTGTGGAGGGAACCGTCAGAGACACGCATATGGATGTGGTTTAATACATGATGAAGCCACATTCATTTCAAACTGTAATCTGTGAGATGTATTCATATGTTTACTGTACCTGCAGTGAGATAGATCATGTAGAAATATGGGGAGAAGTTGTGTCTTATGTCACGTCTCGTTAAATGATAAAGATAAGTCTCATGGAGAAACTCCCAACCATACCTGCAGACATAAGACGTGTCAAATTTGGTGTTTCAATCTAAGGTTTGTCTGCTCAAATGTGCACTTATTCAAGATTAGTTTAACACAGGACCCTAAAAAGAGAATGGTTACTCATACGTACATGTGATAGAAGAGCCCAGAGAGAAAGCAAACCACTCCCCCTGAAACGTTGGCAAAGATCATCAATTCCTTATTAATAAAGGAAGTGAAGAATCTTATGAAACTCCTCCACTTTGACTCTGCTTCATGCTTCTGTGCAGCCAGGTTTTGTGTCCGTAAAGTTAAAGCGATGGGAAGGGCATAAGTGACAGGGTAGATCTTCATGTGGACGGCCAGGCCAAAGAGAAGAGCAGCACAAGTCCGGCGCCGAGCTGAAAAAAAAAACATATAATGTTATTCTATTTTATTGACTAGACTTGACTGTTCGCTTTGTACAGTCTTACCAAGTCCATAAATCATAAACTACACTCCCCGTGTCGAGAGAATCTCACTGGTAAAGTAACATGTCAGTACTAAAAAAGGTCTCGGTATGATTCTCAAATCATTAATGACAAAACAAAAAAGTGAAAAAAGTGTTGGTTATAGATTTGTTGTTGACAAAACTCTTGTCAAATCAGATATTATGGTCCCAGCTAGATTGGTCTGCCTATCTGACAACCGGAGTCAGAGAGAGTGAGAGAAGTTGCAGTATCAATTTTGGCCAGATTTTTACATATTGTTCCTATTGGGGTGAAGAAAGTGTAATATTTTACTTTTTCGCAAATTGGCTATTGATTTTTTTCAACAAGACACTCAAAAACACTACCCCTTTGCTCAGTTTGAAACAATATAGGATTGTAAATTAATTGTATTTTTAATTGTTGTTGAAAATTATCACCAGTGGCACAAAAAATAGTGTCAAAAGTACTTTAGTTTATCATGTTATTCTATTGTTAACTCAATTAAACAATAGTATAAATGCACTGTAATATTATGATAATACATTCATACAAAGTTAACTCCCACCTTCCATGCACAGTAACGTCCCCAAGACCAGCGCAGCCAGAATGGACTCTGCATTCCCCCGACTGGACACTCCCATGGGCAGAGGGTTCAGCAGCCATAGAGAACTCACTCCAAGAGAGGTCTACAATAAAATGAGGAAACTTATCTTTTACATTAATAAAATACATCAATAATATCAAATGTCGTGATCATACTTTTGAGCTCAGTCCACGCAGGCGCAGGATTTTGTATATGAGGAGTCCTGATAAAACGTCACACAAAATGAAGAGGATTTTACCAAAGGCCATGAAGAGATAAATGTTTGGAGTGAGCATCCAGGCGAGGAGGGGCGTGTATCGGTATGTAGATCTGTTGTAGGGAGACTGGCCCTGCACAAAAAATTTACAAAACGTGATCGGAGAAATATTACAAACAGGGAACGTGTAGCTTCGGAGTAGAACATTTTTTCATGTTTTAGAATGTAAAGAAACTAAGTTGAATGGATAAACAAAAACAATGCATTATGTTGAGCGGAGAGCATCTTGATTCATGGGGAAGTGGGAATTAACTTTATGCTGCTTTGGTAAAAATATATGGGTGAATTTTTACTACAACCATGGCACGCAGTTGTACATAATGTAGATAAATTATCAAAAATAATTCAAAATGAGGGGAAATTCCTAGGATGTATTATATAGTTTGAGTCACAGTGGCCTGAAAACGATCTGAAGCATATGGAATTCCTCACATTTCTGAATAAAAATCACCATCAATTGGGATCTGAGCTTTATCAAAATTACAGACAAAAAAAAAATCACAGAAAAACTACCCAAAATATAAACAGGTTGTCATACTTTTAATCAGGACAACAATGATTCAATCAGAATTAAGGAGGATTTACCAATTCATTTTGATTGTGATTCATGCTAAAATTAAACTGCATTCAGAAGATAGGTCATGTGCATGTCTCACCTGAGTCACAAACCTGGCGGCATCAGTGAACACTTGGTAATCGATGTCTGTGTATTTGACCTCCATAGTTCTGTCCTGATGGTCTCCGTACAGAACCAGGACCAGCCTCACAGCCAGTGACAGCGGGAACAGAACCCGTCTGTGGGTCAGCGCTGTGGTCAGTCTCTCCATCTCTGCATCGGTCCAGACTATGGTCCAGTGAAACCACACACACAGACCCGGAATAAACTAACAAAATACTACAACACAACAATTAGCATTACTTTATTTTACATTCCGACTCAAAATTCAGCGGATTTTTCTGTTTAGAACATAGATTAACGCTAGGAAAAAAGATATACATGCAAGTTCAAAACAGGAAGTTTACAGCGAAACACTTTTCTTCTTCTACTAATATTCAAACACTGACGCTCGGCAGCGCCCCCTAAAGGCCTGAAACAGGACTGATACATTAGCTATGATAGCTACGCTTCTTGTCTTCCAGTCGTAGTGTCTGGATCTACTTGATTACCCAGAATGTAGTGTCCGTACTTATTTCAAATAGGGGTGGGGTGTAAACGTTAATGTAAATATTAATGGGAATGAAGTGTAAACTTCTTCCCATTAACATTTGATATATGTTGATTTTCTTTGAGAATTTTCATTTTTTATGAAACAAAGAATACAAATTATAATAAATAAATGACAATTGTAAACCACTTTGTGACTTTGGTCTGTGAAAGGCGGTATATAAATAAAGATTGCTTACTTATAATGCCATTACATTAGTTTGTTCTCATGCATGTGTATGTAATATGCATTGCAGGTTTGATATTGAATTGACTATGACATACTCAATAAATTCATTTATTTATTCAATTAAAAGCCAGACAGAGTAGTGCTTCAAAAGTATTGCACAGTTAAAACCATGTGTCAGTAAAGAAGTGCACACATAATAATGATCAGAAGGCAGCGTGGGTGAGTTCCTCAGGAGGTGTAGATAATAACGAGGTCTGTTTACAGCAGCACAGAAGCAGTTTGTAGCAGAGAAGCTAACTTTACTTCTCTTTAGTTCAGTGACACATTCCGATGCATTTTTATCAAGAGCAGTACTTTTTTACATTTCAATTGTAGAGTGTCAGGATTTTGAAAGCAGCCGTTTTGTTTTGGAGAACTGCCAACAAACTTAAAAGCGTTGACGATTGTGATAGACTGATAGTAATTGCATCGCCCAAAGTGACAGATAATACAACAAGCTTCCCTTTCTTTGGTTTACAGCGTTATGTCTGATTTTATTCAGGGGAACAGTATCTCCCTGCGAACAAGACAGAATTGGTGGCATTGTGTCGGATGAAGAAGAGGAAGGGGTGGTCTGCGATGAAGGCGGCAGAACGCATAGCACAGTGCAGTATCATGATGGCAGCAGTGGCAGCCGCCGCCTCAGTGCCCTCTTCATTCACCTCCACAAACGCTTTGTGGACGACCTTTGACAAAAACAGGTCGTTTGCTGGAGACATGCCTGAGGAAAGAAATGAACACATCGTGTGAGTAATATTAATTGATTGATAGAGTTTTTATGTATCCCACAAGAGGAAATCCATGTGACCATTATACTGAACATTTACATACAATCATAAAAAGTCAAATCTCTATCCAAACTTATGAAGTGACCCAGGATCAAACAGTGTTCCTCAGCTGACAGCAGCAGCAATGAGATGTCTACAGCTTGTGTACAGTGATGAGGCAAGATACGTCGGGTCAGATGGATGCCCTGATGCATGATGGTCTTCTTGGTGTGGTGGATGTCCTCAAACAAACCCACCAGATAGAGGTGGAGCTCTGAAGGACAGGCCGGTCAGTCTGAGCCTCTGAAAGACAGGTCGGTCCTGGAGATCTGGCAATTCCCTTGACCAGACGCTGGAGGAGGAGCTCGGTGGAGTTCTGGCAGCGGTGGACAGGGCTGGACTGGTACCAAAATACGGCCCAAGCATTTTTCCTCCTTGATGGCCAGGATCGTTTTGCCGTTTTTTTTTTGTCCACAGGTTTTTTTTTTACGGTTATTTATAAAAAAATAGTCTACTTTACAAGAGAGTAATAAACAAGTCACTAATTAGAGTGAGGGAGATGGTCACAAAACTATTGTTGTTTGTTACAGGGATGTAACAAGTTATTCTGCTTTAACTTGTTTGCACCAAGAGCCAAAGTTTGTGAATTCCTGTTACTCAAATGGCAATAAAAAGGATTCTGATTCTGACATTTAAAAAAACTAAATGCATAATTAAATCTGTTTGATTTGCCCAAATATAGGCATTGGCCCTACCCTTACTTGGTTCAGTCCATTTTCTCTGCTTTCATGCAGGCACATTTTCAATAAAAAGGATCTGCACTGTATTTACAGGCTTCGGGAATAAAATTAGTTCTGCATTTGAAGGACCTGTTCCCCAGTAAAGAAGTCCATAACTAAGGAACAAATGACTGTTGTCTGGGTGATTGTTGTACTTTAAAGCTGTTGCATACTGAATGTCACAGTCATCAGCCCCGATCACGGCTGAGATTCAAAAGACCGAACATTGGTGAATGGAACATATAGTTACAACATACTTTTGTTGTCTTCCCTTACCTGAGAAGTCACTTTTCCCCATGTCAAATGCGTCCACCATGCCCATGCTGGTCAGGACGTTTTTCATGTCGTACTTCTCCTCCATCTTGAATCGAGGAAATCCCACCTGCACCTCCACCTCATCCATCATGTCAGGACGGGTCCACTCCACAAAGTTCTCATAGGTCAGCTGCTCCTCCAGCTGTGACACAGTGGTTTCGCTGTTAATGATTATATTCACACTTAAAAAGAATTAGAAAATGGGACAAACCTGAAACAAAGGGAGTGTTCAGACTAATATCAAGTAGACTCAGTTCACTTTAGAAGTGAAACAGGCCTCACACATTGAACTCTTTCCAAGTGTGTTCTAGTCTCACATCAAACAAATCTCATTTAAACCAGAGTGGACCAGAGTGGACCAGACTAGACCGACCAAGTGTGAAGTAAACACTCCCTTAATCAAGACTAACCCTGGACTTGAACAGATCTAAACCACGTCTGTATCAAGACTAGAGGTGCAACGGTTCATCACTGATCCGTGATCCGTTCGGATCAACGTCTTCGGTTCGGTACAGACGTGATCTGCGGTTTGATTTATGAAAAAAAAGTTGTATGCATGTTGTTCAGTCCACACACAGTGTGGTGACGGCCAGCGGAGGAACGGAGGAGCTTGAAAGCTTGAAAGCCCCGTGTCATCCCCTGCATGGGAGCATTCAGTCACTATACTGATGATTAAATAGTCGACAAAACTGTTACGATGTGTAAACACTGTGGCACAAGAAAGACATGAGTGAAAAAAGGTTTCTCAACAACCGCTTAAGCAGCTCCTTTAAGCATAGTCAGACCGGGCTAAAGACAACTAGCCCGTGCATCCACAGTTGCGCTCACGACTGATGCTTGGACATCCAGCGGGACCTAAAATATATCCATGAGCGGAACGGAGAGCTATGCTACGAAAACCGCTAACTTCATCTCATCAGCCCCTCACTGATCCTCCTGCAGGAGCTGAGTCCACAGGAGCCTTGATTATTCAGTAGGAAAATATGCCCTGTGTACTTTAATTTGATTGTATACATTTTAATTAGTCAATAATAAAGTGTTTATAAAAAAGACAACACTTCTTTTTTTTTTGCCGATTCAAAAAATTAACCGTGATTTTTTCAAACCGTTGCACACCTAATCAAGACTAAAAACTGGATTTAAACTCACTAGTGTGATCTCCCTTTTCTTACCTTCTCCAGACCCGTAGAGCCATCTTCAATATCGTTGGGCAAAAAGACCAGCATGCTGAGCTCCTTTCCTTTGTAAGGCAGATCTATGACCTGGTTTTCAGAAAAATAATGTCTGGTAGTAACAAGAAAGTGTAGTGTGAACATTACATTATAGATTAAACAAACCTGACAACTGGCCTCACTGATGTCTCTTAGTGGAAATTTTGACTTTTGGTGCATCATCTTCACTGGTTTTGTTTCATTCTGCAAAAATACACAAAAAGTAACCACATGAAATTTAATCCATAGTTCAAAGCGCAGAATAATTATCAAAACAAATAACATATGCATAATGTTAATAACTAAAATACTATGGCTCGCAAACGTGCTTAGACAACTTTCTCATGTCACGACCACAAACATCCGGCACATTTATACAACATTTCATAATCTCATAAACAAAAAAACGACAAAGTGGGGCTTGCCAAAAATATTCTCTGAATTTCTGATTTGTCCAATATCAATCAATCTATTAAGTAGAGTCTATCACACTCTGACCCACGTCCATCGCACTCTGTCCTTCTGCACACTACAGCCATGGATGTGTTGTATTACTGTAGAGAGGCCACTGTGTGTAAGACCAGAGCTGTATATGGTCAGTGGAGGCCATCTATCTGTCTGTAGTATTAGGTTTTGCGACTGTAGTCTGTTCTTTGCTATTCACCCGTTGCATCTGTTTCATGGCACGACAACGAGACCTCTGAACCTGGCCCCCTCAGTCTACACCTGTGGACTTCCCTGCCCGACCGTCTGGGAGTGCTTCACGTTCTGCGGCTACGTGGCCTTGGGTCCCCTTCTGTAGTTTAGGTCCTGGATCTACAGCCCGTCTGTCCGTGTGGAGCGCATCCCTCTCTCAATGTGGATCCCCCCAAGGTATTTTCTATGTATATATGCGTTATGTATATATGTGTATTTTCTGTGTCTTAACTGTTGATTCTCTGATTTGTGATTTCAATGGTTTTGTTAAGTCCTCTGAGATGACTGCTGTTGTCATTTAGGGCAACCCAAGAATAAATTGTATTGTTTTGTATTGTATCTTCTCTGGATTTCAGGCAGGTGCATAAATAATATCTGATTCTGCTCAGGCCACATTGTGCTGGTAAACTGTCTTCTGTTGTTGCTATAGTGTGAAGTATGCATGTTTAATTTAATTACAGATTGTACATTTGTCCAAACGGAAGACAAAAGGGCATTCAAAGGATCGATGATTTATTATTTTACTCTGTACTTCTGGATAAGCTGGATCGTTTTTGGGTACTGCGAGTAAAAACAGACCAAAACTCTTGTTCACAAACACTCTCTGACAGCAGCAACATTTTCAGTCTGGAGATATGTAACGTTTCTCAAGTTTCACCCCAAAAGACTGTTGGGATTTCAGCAATAAATAACAAAAACCTGTAGGCCTCTCCTTTTTTTATATCGTAAAACATCACAAAGTTACATTTGCATGAGCCCTTTTGCAAGCCACTGCCTATACTGTATACGCTTCAAATATCAAAATGTAACTTGATGTAATGAGATTGACAAAAACGCACCTTATTTATCCTGAATTTATAATCTCGGGTAGAGCGCTCATTAAAATGTTTGTTCCAGTTTCCTTTGAAGTAAATGGCGTTGACCAGCACCAGTTTTGTCAGGCCATCCACCACACCATTGGCCAAAATGTCCGTAATTTTACCTGACAAATGTAAACATTACTATACTACTTCAGTACTATAAAACATAGAATCAATTGTGAACCCATCATTTCTTTTACCTTGTGTCTGTGCCTCTACCCAAGTGTTAATCATGACTCTCGCCTCCTCAGAATTACCGATAAAGTCCACAGACTCTAACTCTGCATTGTAGTGCTTTCTGGTGCCGCCCAAGAAATCCTAGGAAACATAAACAACAACATTCATGTTCAAGGTTTTAGGGATACTCATGGATGATGTTGCAAAATAAATGCTAAAATAATGTACAGTGTCTGCACTTAATTCACACGATTGCTATAAGCTTAATTTTCTTGGAAGGAAATATTTGTTATGACATTCAACATAACAGTATTAGTTCATATGCAATCCTATCGTGGAGTGGATAGACGTTCTATTAAGGTCTTGTTTAGTCTTCCATAGAGCATTTAAGATAAAGTCTCTTAAACCAATGGACACACACCTCAACAAACTGGTAAGTCTTCTCTCCGTACAGCCTGTTGGCAACACTGAGGGCGTAGGGCGCGTCTGCCCTGTTCAGCAGCTGCAGCAGGGAGCCAAAGCTGGAGTGCACTTCATCAGATAGGTCCTTAGTTTTGAGGCACTGTGGGAAATAAGTTCAATGTTATTAAAAAGAAAAATTGTAATGAAGCATGCCCCATCATTACATGGAAAAAACAGAGAGAGATTGTTAGCAGCATAATGGAATTCTTAAAGCCTTTAACACCTGAAGAGGACAGCCATCACACAAACCCTGCTTTCTGAAAGGAAGTAGACCTCTTGATATAGCAATAAAACAACTACTGCTTCAGGTATAACATTTGCAAATTGCTTGATAGTTGTTAAACATTTTGGACAAAAAAAATATTTTGATAGAATTGTATCAATAAGTTTTTTTTGACCGTTTTGGGATATAGATGTATATGCATGTATACATACATGCATGCATACCCCAAAACAGGCATTATTAGTAACTACATTCACCAAACGCACGCCAAACCAGATTGTTCTTGTTCCTTGTCCAGAGCCATGAGTAGCTCTTGAACAACACCAAAAAGCGTAATATGTTCCATCACCACACCACAGCTGTTAGTATGTCCCCAGCTTCTCGTCTTCTGTGTTTACCCCTGTCCTGAGATGCTGAGGCAGTGACTGTTGCAGATGTTGGGGAATCTGCATCTGCATCTGCTGCATGGCTCCGCCCTGAGGAGGCTTCTGTGCCTCTTTGACGCAGAGGACCTGGATTTTCAATACATTGGTAGCATTTCATTGAGAAGCAACACACTGAAACCATATCTAATTAATTGAACTAAGTCATTAAACTGTATCTCCTCTGTTCAAAATACAAAAAACATTAAATTGAAATGATTTTACTTAATCAATTCCAGCTCTCCTGTTTCCCCTAAAAATCCCAAAGGAACCTACACATCTGTTTAGGAACATCTTGAATGTTTTAGAACAGTTCTTAAAAATGTAAATGCTTTTTGAGTGTCATTTCTATAAAGTGGCACCGTGTAACTTTGAACAGGTTCAGTCTTGAGCCTCTATGTGAATGTGGTTATGTCTTTCTCCAGAATGCCAAACCTTTTCTCCAGTCATTTCAGGAGTAAATGTTACTCAGCTAACTGAAGCTATGAAACGCTGAGTTTGTATTCCGAGTAACTGCTGTGATCTCAGTGTGGTGACCTTTGTCTCTCCCCTCCTTTATGACTCTTTACATTACAAATGCACTTCATTCTGGTGTAACACACAACACACCGACTGTTGCTTCAGTGATTCTTGAAAATAATGTGTTTTTTTGGGTGCCATGTTGTTGTTGGTCAGGATTAACAGCTAACCTTGAGCTGCAGGATTAATTCTTGTGATAATTGTGATTCTAAAAAGTCACAAGAATCAATATGGGCTAAGGTATAAACTATTTTTACAAATGGTAGCTTTGAAGTTCTAAAAATCAACACCTTTGAGGCTGCTTGATTATTTGGTTCATAAATGTGGTTTTTTCCTAATATGCAAACAATTGATTCTACATTAAAATCATTTACCTGTATTCAATGTATTGGACCATTATTGTATCGCATGATTGAGGCATCTTCAGAACAATTTTGTTTTCTTTATATTGGGTTTTTGATTTGTAAAAAGTTGGTCCAAATATTCATTGGTTGGTCAAAAAAGGTTGTATTGTTTTAATGATGGATATGTTGCAATTTGTAATTGATTGCAATGTGTTTAGAAATGTTATTATTTTTGCAGATTTTACAACTGGATACATACATTTATTACAAAAACCATGAATGAATGAACTTCCTTCTTTTGTTCTGTCCGTCCATGTGAAGCCTATCCCACATTCTCACATATCAGTGACCCTTCCAGTGGAGCTGGGTGTGGTTCCCGATACACCAATGTGTGACAAGCCAAGGCTCTTTTCATTTCAAACCACCTGTATTACACCAGTGGTTCCCAAAGTGGGGGTCCCGACCCCCCGGGGGGTCGCAAGATGATTTCCACACAAACAAACAGATTTTTTTTTTTGAGCAAATATAAAGCCCTTAAATATTTATTTAGCATTTGATTTGATTCAAAAGGACTACTTGTTAAATTGTGTTTGGAGACTATAATATATTTTAATAACGTTAGTAATTTTGTCCCAGTCATTGCAGCGTCAATCAAAATCATCACGTAACACAGCTCACATCATGCGCAGCGACAAAGCGTGTCCTGCTGTTTGCTAAAACTAAAGGTGTTTGGAGGCTACAAATAAATAATACCTGCTTTAAAATGAAACGTGGTTAATATCCACAACAGAAAAACCCGGAGGGGGAGAAAAGTCACTTGCATCAGGGGTTGGGGGGGGGCGCGGGTTAGCAGGGCATTTATGATGGGGGTCGCGGGCTAAAAACTTTGGGAACCCCTGTATTACACAACCACTACATATTGTCACAATGCATTGATTCATTTTCTGGATCCTTTGGAGAGTAACCTGTAAAGGGATGGTTCACTTCTGGTACCTCAAAAGCTTTAGGTACGAGATCCTTGTTGTAGAAAATAGCCAATTCAAATCAAGAGGCAAGGCAAGATCCTGTACCTGTACTTATTTGAATTAGTGGTTATGTAATGGCTATAATCTACTGTGTGCATAGAACCAGTCAGCTATTTACAATGTATCACTATGGAAACATAACAGAGAAAAATCCATGTATTACTTTTTGATGTCTTGTTGACTCATGGCTGCTGATACAGGCTTACGTATAACTTACCTCTGACATTTGTGTGGCTGTGTTGCCCCCGGCCCCGAGCAGGACCATGGCCAGAGCCGAAGAGATGCTCACGGGAGAGAAGAAGACATTGGAGGTGCGATCGTTGTCACTCAGGACTTTGAAAAGATTCAGGGCAAAACTGGTGTTTGCTTTGGACAGCGGAGTTTCAGATGCCATGGTGTCTGTTGCAGAGAAAGATTTAGTCTGTTAAGAGGTGCAATTTGTAACACATATTTCTAGCAGTTTTTGAGGAAAGATTATGACTACATTATTCAGTTTATTAGGGTTAAATACTCAGGAAACAGGTGATTATTAAACTTACTAAGTGTACAAATATAACACAAACTTCCTCAAAGCCTCATAGATGATGTTGCAAATCAGATCCATGCATGGACTAAAGAGTAGATTAGGCTCAAACATGAAACACATACAAAAGGAATGGCTGTGCACCAAAATATTTTTTTTTCGAGGAAAAGAAACTAAACAGGTAAAATAACGTATAGTTATTATTACACTAGAGACTTCCTTATAGTAACACCTACAGTCTATAAGTAACACCTGTCCTTTTAAACTTTCAACACCTCTGTCATATCTCCAGGAAGGTTATACACGCTGCAGTACGTCATTGAATAGTTCCAAATCGATAAAACACAACGCTAAATAATGAAATAGATACAGATAGAGCTAGATAGATGCACTCACCAGAAGTGTTCAGGGCGGAATGGAATGACTCTTCTTTTTCTTCTTCCTTGCTGTTTTTTGGCGGTTGACAACCAAAGAAAAGGAGTATTACCGCCACCTACTGTACTGGGGTGTGCGGACCATTGGAATCAAGCTAGAATCAGCAGTTTAAATACGATCTTTCAGTCCCGTTTGATGAAATGGATTAGACGTTTGCGGATGTTTACAGACGGTTGATCTAGCAATGTCTTTAAATTAAAAGGGCGTGTTTCTTTTGCAACAGCTGTTGACATGCAGACTCGTTGCTCTCTATAGTAATCACAGTGCAGGAGGACATGTTCTACAGTCTCTGGTTCATGTGTACAGTGCTGGCATGTTCCATCCACATGCTTTCCAATTCTCCAGAGTGAGTGGTTTAGGCCTGTGTGTCCGATCCTCAAACGTGTGATAATGGATTCCTCTTTACGGTTACCTGCCCACAGGCGGTTTGATCCAACTTTACTCTGGATTCCATAAAGATGTCTTCCTGTATCACTGATGTCCCAGCACTCTTGCCAGAGCTTCATGATTTTAGATTTCAACAAGGATTTTCCCTCAGCTCGACTTAGTGATACATTCATGTTAATAGTGTCAAATCTTAAGGCTTGTTTAGCGAGTATATCCGCCGGCTCATTCCCCTCTACTCCAACGTGAGCGGGAATCCAAACCAGTGACACATCAATTTTCTTGTTATACACCTGTACCAGGAGGTTATAAGCCTTATACAGTAGATCCATCCTGCACGACTTTCCAGATTTGAGACTTAATAGCACTGCTTGGCTATCCGATGCAATAACAGTTTTACAAATATTGACACTAGAATTCATTAAAAGCCAGTTAAGTGAAAGTAAGATGGCGATCAGCTCAACTGTGTATACTGCTAGATGGTTTGAGACTCGTCTTCTAATATTGATTCCATACTCTGGGATGCACACTGCTGCACTGGTTCGTCCGCTATCTGGGTCCTTAGATCCATCCGTATATAGAATCAGACTATCATAGTGACATTCAAGATATTTGTGCACAATACGCCATTCCGATGTAGTTCCTTTATTCTTAATATGTTGATGGAGAGATAGGTCAACCCTGGGAGGTCCAAAAACCCATGGAGGGACCGGAGAACATGGGACTGTGGGGCAATATTTAAAACCATTTAGGTCAAAGTGCTGTGCTTTAACTTCGCACACCCACCCAAAGCTAAAAAGCTCAGATTCTTGATGCTCCCAGCAATCTTGTAATGTCTCTTTCGTTGGATGAAGGGTGTCATGGCCTTGAAGGTTCAACCAGTATGCGAGCATGAGCTGGATCCTCCTCAGACGGAGAGGGGCTTCCCCCGCTTCAACCTGAAGGGCAGAGAGTGGCGAGGTCCTGAAAGCTCCACAACATGTACGCAGTGCTTGTGTTTGTTCTTGGTCTGGCTTCTTCAGGTGTGTCTCTACAGCAGACATGTAAACAAAGCAGCCATAATCCAAGGAGGACCTCATGAGTACTTGGTAAATTCTTATTAGGGCCCCTCTTGCCGCTCCCCAATCTCGGCCTGCTAGGCATCGCAATATGTTATTTACTTTTTTACATTTATCTTTGACTGATTCAATATGTTTTTTCCATGTTAGTTTCTCATCCAACCACATTCCCAAAAACCTAACCATAGCGACTTGCTCCAGTTTTTGTCCATACAAATTTAGCTCAACTTCTTTGTGTCTTTCAGAAAAACAAATTACTTGTGTCTTTGGAACAGACATTTTAATTGCCCAACTGCTAGCCCATATTTCTACTTCATTTATAGCATTTTGCATTTTCCTTTGTAGGTATTTCAAATTACGACCCCTGACCCAAAGGGCCCCATCATCCGCGTAAAGGGATCTCCCAACAGAACTTTCTACATTCTCAAAAATATCATTTATCATTATATCAAATAGAGCAGGGCTACAGACACTTCGCTGCGGGGTTCCATTTTCAACTGTATAAGTATCAGAATAGGCACATCCGACTCTTACTTCTACTTTCCTTCCAAACAGGAAACTTAGCACCCAATTATAAAGTCTTCCTCCAATGCCAAGTTTGGACAGTTTAATCAGCAGCCCCTCTTTCCAAAGCATATCGTATGCTTTTTCTATGTCGAAAAACACAGCCAGAACCATTTCTTTATCTGTTTGGGCTTTTCTTATTTCAGATTCTAGGCAGACAAGTGCATCCATAGTGCTTCGTCCCCTCCGAAAACCACTTTGGAAAGGGGTGAACAGTTTCTTCTTTTCCAAATAGTAATTCAGCCGTGTTGTAATCATCCTTTCCATAGTTTTTCCTAGTTGTGATGTTAATGCAATAGGTCTATAGCTAGCCGGGTCTGATGCTTCCTTTCCAGGTTTCACGATTGGCACTATAACGGATTGTTTCCAAGCATCAGGGATCTTCCCAGTTTCCCAGACTAAGTTAAACAACCTCACTACAGCTTCCAAGGACTCCTCCTCCATCCTCGCCAACATGGAATAGCAGATGCCGTCTTTGCCAGGGGATGTCTGTTTAGAAGAAGCTGTTGCACGTTTAAGTTCAAAAATAGTGAAAGGCAGGTCAAGATCATCACAAAAGGAATTCTTCATGTTAGTGACACCTGGGTTCTCTTTTGCAGTTCTATCTCTACATTCCTTTATGCCTTCAGATAGATTACTCGAGCTGTGTACACTAACAAAGGTACTTGCAAGTAACTCTGCCTTGTCCTTATTGTTTACTGCAGTGAACTCTTCTTTTTGCAAAAAAACTCTTAACTCCACTCATTTTCCTAATGACACCCCGGATATCAGCCAGCTTTGTTTCTCGTCCAATCTTGCTGCTGTAATTCCTCCAGAAGGTTCTTTGCGTGGTTTTTATAACCCTCCTAACTTGAGTTTGAGCTCTTTTATAATTAAGGAGAGACTCAAACGTAAGAACTTTACGTAACCTTTTAAACATTTTGTTTCTTTTTTTAATGGCCTCACTACAATCATCATTCCACCAAGGCACACCCTTAGTCTGCTTCTTTTCTTTAACCTTTGGGATCGTGCCCTCGGCTGCTTGCAGGATAACAGAGGTTAGTTCCTCATTGTATACGTCAACGTCTGTTATTTCTCTCCCAAAGTCTTCTGGACACAAGCGGCTCACTATTATTCTGAACAACTCCCAGTTAGCCTTGTCCAGCTTCCATCTTGGAATTCTTGAGTCAGTTTCCTCAATGACTTCTGTTCCTACTTTGGTAATTACTGGATAATGGTCACTTCCCATTAGGGCGCCTTTTACAACCTCCCAGGAGGCCTTACTTGCAATAACACTAGAAACTAATGTGAGATCCAGAGCGCTCACTACATTATTTGAACAATTGTATCTTGTACCACTTCCATCGTTAATACACACAAGTGAGTTAGCTTGGATACACTCTTCTACAGCTACACCATTTGCATTAGTGCTAGGACAACCCCATAATGTGCTGTGGGCATTAAAATCACCACACCAAATAATTTTCCCTTGTGCTTTCTAATCACATTATTCAATATTTCCGAGTTCAGCCTGTTGCCAGGGTTATAAAAATTAATCACAGAAAACTGACCATCATTTGCCCATATTTTGGTAATTATAAACTCTTGACTGATATCCTCAACTTTGAAATTAAGTCCACTCTGTACAAACGTAGCAATACCCCCACCTTGCCTCTGTTCCCTGTCACAACGGATTGACACATATCCTGTTATTACAAAGTCTAAAGCTGGCTTAAGCCAGGTTTCCTGAATACAGATCAAATGAGGTTTAGCTTCCTGATCCACAATATACTTTTTAAATTCTTGACCGTTACTAATTAAGCTTCTTGCATTCCATTGGAATACAATCAACATCAAGAGGATGAGGTACCACATTGTATCAATCGCTGTCCTGGTGTATTTTTCTTCCTTACGTTTAGTTTTTCGTTAAATGACTCCAGTTTCACATTTCTGATACCACAAGGTGTCTTTCTGCAGCACTTAGGACAGGGGTCACCAACCTTTTTAAAGCTGAGGGCTACCTTAAGATTCACAAATAGCTTGAGGGCTACCAGCTCAAAACATATTTATAAACAAGTCAAAAAAGCTTACAATATTCACACACAAAGGGTATTTGTAGTATATGTAAAGTAATTTATTATTTGACAAAGTGACATCTATTTAGTTTAAATGAACATAAACAAGTCACAATTTAATTCAACATAACACAGAACATTGTTTGTGTCATCTCCAACTTTTGCTTTAATAAATGAACAATGATCAATTGACCGGGTAACATGGCGTTTTACTAAAACACTGTTCAATGTTGTCAGTTAATGAGAAACCTGGCATTCCACGTTGTCCACTAGTTTGCTGTACTCTGGTGTATAGTTTGACACTGCCACTCTCAGTGAATCTTCCAGATGTGAATCAGTTAGGCGTGTTCTGTGTTTATTTTTTATGAAGTTCATATTGGAAAAGGCTGATTCACAGAGATAAGTGGACCCAAAAAGACAAGCAACCTTCAGAGCTGCTGTGCAGATAGATCTGTACTTTTCCATGTCCACTAGGTTCCAAAAGTTTGGGCTACTCAGATGTGTTTTAAGGTACAGGTCATTTTGCAGACTTATTATTTCCATTTCTACCTGCCCTGCATCCAAGGTAAAGGCTGTGCTTAGGTTCTCAGCTGTGCCTGTAATATCAACTGACATAAAGGGATTTGAAATGAATGACACACATGTCTCAATTTGCTCAAAATCACTAAATCGGTTCTCAAACTCTTTCATCAGTCTGTTTATCACTTGGCAGTATTTCTCTACAGCCCCATCAAAGGCCACGGATGCAGAAACATTGTCACTGATAACTTTTTGCACAGAGGGGAAGTGTACAACACTTTTTCTTTTCAAATGCGCAGAAAAAAGGTTCATTTTAGCTTTAAAAGTGTTTACAGCACTTATCATATTTGTGACAGTCTTACCAGTGCCTTGCAACTCACAGTTCAAATAGTTCAGTTTTTCTGTGATGTCTGTTAAAAAGGAAAGGTCAAGCAACCACTCAGTATTGTCCAAGAGTGAGGTGTCCTCTTCTCTGCTCTGCATAAACTCCTTTATTTCACCCAAAAGTGCCAGGAAGCGTTTCAAAATCCGCCCTCTGCTGAGCCATCGGATTTCTGTATGCAGCAACAAGTCCCCATATTCCGCGGAAAGCTCCTCCAACAGCAACTTAAATGTCCTGTGTTGTTTGGCTTTAGCGCGAATGCTATTGATGATTTTGATAACGGGGGTCATTACGTGGTCAAACCCGGTCACTTTCGCGCATAGCGACTGCTGGTGGATGATACAGTGGTAGTGTAGGAAAGGTGGAAAGTCTGGGTCATTCTTGCAAAGCGCAATGAAGCCCACATGACATCCTACCATCGCCGGTGCACCATCGGTAGTTACTGACACGAGCTTCTCCAGCGGCACTTTTTTCTCCACAAAAAAAGTTTATCGCGTTGTAAATGTCCACTCCTCGCGTAGTTGTCCTCAGTGGTGTGAGCGTGAGGAGCTCTTCTTTAGCGGAGAAATCCTCAAATACCATCCGAATAAACACCATTAATTGAGCTGTGCTGCTGCTGTCCACAGACTCGTCACATTGGACGCTGAACCACTGGCATGTTCTTAAGTCCTTGTCCAGCTGTTCATTCAAGTTCGTGGACATAGCGGACACTCTTCTGGTCACAGTACTTGCCCCAAGTTGTACTTCAGCTAGACTTGAGATCACATCAGATCCATTTTTATAGTCTTTAAAAACAGTCTCTGCGATTATCATCAGAGCACCCTTAACAATCTGTCCATCAGAAAACGTCTTCTTGTTTTTAATCAAATAATGCGTAGCTCTGAATGAAGCTTCGGTGGCCTTTTGGGCCTTCTTCAGTGGTCTTGTGAAAAAGCTCTGCTGCTTGGTTAAAGCGGCCTTTAACTCACGCGCTTTCTCCGCCCGAAGCGCAGTCTTGGGGGGAAAGTTTTGGTGGAAGCTACCGTGAGTGGTTTGATAGTGACGCTCCACATTGTGCCGCTTTGAAATCGCCACCGTTGCTCCACAAATAAGGCACACGCACTTATCCCGAATCGATATAAAAAAGAACTCCTCTTCCCAGTCTTGGTTAAAAGCATAGGTCTTTTTTCTCTTCTCAGCCATGGTTTTTAGCGCGGTATGATAATTGTATTTAGCTAGAAAAAGCAGAATTAATTGTCATGCGCAGGTGACTGATGAACTATGACCTACATGCAACTATACATTTATATTAAGATTACTACTTAAGTAATAGCATGTGGGCTTGTTCACACTAAAGGGCACAAAAGTGTGACAAAAGGCCAAAAATTTGATTTTAATAATCAGAAGATATTTTATGTTTTTCATGTTTCCAAACACCTCCTCTGTCCATTAGAAGTTGCCAGAACATAACTGTTTTATACATTAGACAAGTTTCCTATAGCGGCCCTGTTTATTTTATCTAACGGACGTGATGATTTGACGGAATGAGCTTTGTGCAAGTTTGATAGGTATTTTCAGATGTCCACATTTGATTCAGAGATTCTACTTTTTTACACAAAGTAGATGCAAAGTGATACTTTCATATTGTCAAGCAATTAAATGTGAAAACAGACCAGATTTTTTTTCTTCTCAAGTTAAATTTTTAGAGAAAAGAGGACCGTCCTCATCACGTCCGTTATACATTTTTCAGGGGTCATTTAATTAATTAATTAATTTTTTTTTTTTTTTTTACGATTCCTTTTTATATCAAGTGATTTCCTCCTGTTGTGGTAACCATGTAAATCTTGTGGGATTTCATCTTCTGCTTGGGAGGTCAAGCTGTGGGAGTTTGAGACGAACGTAAAGAGACGCAAAATGGAGAACGAGAACAAGAATAATTCAGTTAGATCACTCAAAACAATACCGTTTGAGAGAAGATCATACCAGGAGAAGGTTGAGGTTAAAGAGCTTGGACCTGATCAGCCAAATATTACCATTAGTCAGCAGTCCAGGACCTGGTTCAGCGCCAAATCTTGGCTAGCAGCATGTAGCGAGGCTAATGCTTTATTTTGCTTTCCATGCCTCTTGTTTCAAACATCAGGATCTGACCCAGCATGGATCAAGACAGGTATGACTGATCTGAAGCACTTTTTAGAAAAGGCAAAGAAGCATGAGCAGACTGGTATCCACATGCAAAATGCCCTCAAATTAGCTATGTTTGGGAAGATAAATATTTCATCCCAGCTGGATGAAAGCTACAGGGTAGGGATCAGAAAGCATCCCTACCCTGCTGGTATATATCTAGTCATCATATTCATAGCCCCCCCAGTAGAAAATTCCACCAGCCGCCACTATTCAAATGAATGGTTGTGCTCAGTGGCGCTTTGTGACAGCATGGGGGCTGAAAGATTAGCGGAAGTTGCCTGAAACTCGCAAAGATCTATGGGAAACTCGCCTGTATTTGGGCATCGTCTGGTCCTCCCGGTTCTGCGCGGTGGATGATCTCCCATAATGCGTTGCGCCAAACACGCGTGTGTGGGTCTCACACCAGGTCTCACGCACGTGCACAGAGGGGCTCGGCCACGCTCTGACCAATCAGAGCAGTTCATCAGAGCGGGAGTTAGAGCGAGAGCCAGACGAGCAGAGTTTGTGGCACTAAAGTGTGGATTTAAACAAAACCGAAGGATTTAAGAAGAAAAAAAGTTCAGGATGACAAGGGACACTAAAATCCCCACAAACTCCGACCTTTATGAAAGCTGTAGGTTCTCTGTCAGCTGAGGTCGAGCTGTTTTAATATGCATTGAGTCCTATGGGGAAAATTTCTGGGTAGCCCACGTGAATTTAGTCTGGTTCAGTCTGCAGTACCGCGAGAATCCCCTGAGCACGTGAGTTATTCAGCTACAAGCTAGTAACACCCTATCCAGTTAATATAATACATCCATGGTTCTGCCCTTTGCTTGCAGGGTGCAGTTTATTACTTCCGCCATGAATAGTAGGAAATCCTCCTTTTCCATCATTAGTGTATCTTCATTTATTTTGTTAGAGTTATCACACTTGGGGCTATTAGTAGTTGGGGCTACTGCAGCCGTTACTTTCTTTGGCAACGCAGGGACCTTCTTAGCCGCTTCTGCATAGGTGACTCCAGTGGAGACTGACTTTTTGTACTTCAGCAGCTCTTTTACTAACTTCACATCCACGGTAGGCAGAGCTGTGCTCTCCCACACAGTTACAACACTTAACCTTTGCTCCTTGTTCACACTTTCCATATTCATGCTCCCCTGCACATCTTCCACATCGTTGTTTTCCTCTGTACACAGCAGCAACATGGCCATACTTTTGGCATTTAAAGCATCGAAGTGGTGCAGGGATATATGCCCTGACATTATAGCACATGAAATCAATGAACACTTTGTCCGGGAGTACTTCTCCTTCGAATTTGACCATAACAGAGAAGCTATCACTTCGTTCGCTATTACGCCGCGCTTTGAGACGTTTAATGTCTACAATCTTAGCGTTAGTTCCTTTCAAACTCGATTTGATGTCCTCCACTGGGACACTCGGAGGGATACCAGAAATAACTCCACTCACAACTTGCTTGTTTTCTAAAACTCTTGCCCTGACTTCTTGGCCCACAATACGAGTCAGTTTTAGCGCTTTCTTCCTGTCCTCAGCGTTCATACATATTATTAACAACGATCCGTTCCTCAACGTTTTCGCATATTTGACAGTTCCAATCACTTTGTCGACCTCCCGAGTGAGATGGATCGTGTTCCACTTACCGAACGACGCCCCCTCTTCAACCAGTGTTAACACAACTTTGAATTCTTCAACTTCTTCTTCACTGTGGTCTGTTACCTCCGATTGAGATGTTTCTTGGTTTGCTTTCTTCCTTTTACGTTTCTTTTTTTGGTTTTGCCAGACCTTAACGCCATCTGTGGCCCTGTCCCAATCCCCACACTGCACCTCTACGAAGTGTGCATTTGTTCGAAGTGCACACCAGGGTTGGAGTGCGCAGGTTACACGTGTCACGTGTGCAAAAAAGGTGGAATTGGGACAGCGCACACTGAGAGCAGGTTACGTCATCGACTCGTCAAGAGATGGTCATTTTCAGACCTAAACTTTATAAACATTAAAGGTAATTTTGTCTGACCCTTTGGGAAACAAAATGAATTGCTCCACACACGTTAAAATACATATATATTATTAAATTATTATTATATGTTTTAATCGAGATAGCTGTATAATTTTAAGTTAAATGTGGGTAACTAACTATCTGGTCAGTTTTTATACATTCTAAGATTATTGTACTAAGTGTAAAGTTTAAATTGAATGTTATATAAACGCTTGTTTTAAAAAGTTATTAAATTGTTAAAACACTATGTCCGTAATTCTTCATCAGGCGTTTATGCATAACATAGCATACCAAGTAACATAGCAAAACTTATTAACACACATACTGCATATATATTTCAACATTTATATTTAAATGCATTTTCCCGACGTTTTGGTGTGTACCGCAAGGGTGGAAGTGCGAGTATTGGGACGGGGCCTGTATCGCTTTCATTTCCCGCACCAGCTTCTCGAACACTTCCCTCCACGTCACTTCCAGACATCTTACAGGTGTAACGCCGAGATACACTTCCTTGAAGAGATGCACTTCCCCAGCTGTTTATGATGTAATGCAAACCTGCGCATGCGCGTCTCACGGCAACCGAAGCATACCAAGATGGCGGACCGTGAATTGCTTTAAAAGTTGAAATACGAACGAATTAAGACACGAATGTCACTTTTAATGCAATTTGAGGCGAGATGTTGATGGTTCCGTTTTGTCACATGTGGGTTTTAAGAGTCAAAGTTTCGTGCAAAGTTTAGTTTAAGAAGTCAACTGCGCCTGTGAAACCACAAAGCTAATGTTTTCATAGCAGTCCGCGGCTGCTGACGTAGGCTGATGACGCGTCCTGTGGCCACTCTACACTGGTCTGTCGGGTTGATAATGGAAAATGGGGAAAAAAATCAATCTAATTAAATATTTTGTTTGAACACACTATTGTTAATCATATTAAATACAGTACGATACATGTATTGAATGAAATTTATTATTTCCATTATCAACCCGACAGACCAGTTGTAAGCTGTAGAGTTGCCACAGGACGCGTCATCAGCCTACGTCAGCAGCCGCGGACTGCTATGAAAACATTAGCTTTGTGGTTTCACAGGCGCAGTTGACTGCTTAAACTAAACTTTGCACGAAACTTTGATTCTTAAAACCCACATGTGACAAAACGGAACCATCAACATCTCGCCTCAAATTGCATTAAAAGTGACATTCGTGTCTTAATTCGTTCGTATTTCAACTTTTAAAGCAATTCACGGTCCGCCATCTTGGTATGCTTCGGTTGCCGTGAGACGCGCATGCGCAGTTTTGCATTACATCATAAACAGCTGGGGAAGTGCATCTCTTCAAGGAAGTGTATCTCGGCGTTACACCTGTACACATGTCACTCCCGTATTCGTCCCGGAAACCGGATTCGTCCGGAAGTTCAGTTTGATCCAATGAGCATACGCAGCAGTAGATTACGTCACGGAATCTGGACGGAAGCGGAAGTAAATATAAAAAACTACCTATTCATGCCTAAACTTAACCAGCCATTCCCATGAAATAACCCCAACCCAGCTTCAACCCT